TGCAGTTCAGGCTGTACTTGAACTAGCAGCAATTACCCTGTCTCTGTCTCTCAAGTGGGATTACAGGTGCACACCACCAGACCTTGTCCTGGTGGAAACTATCTTGTCTCTCAGTACAGCACTCTTTGAAGTTCAATTCCTACACACTATGAGTCTATCATTATAAAGATGATCTAGTTATTAGAAATGCCTAGACTTGACTCACTAATTTATGTATTTTTTCAATCATTAAAATTAGCCTACCTGTTTATTTTTGAATTGTTTTAAAAGGTGCACTGCAAATGGAATTTACTTACAACCACACTATGGTACACAATAATTTGACTTTAAAACCACCCATCCTACCCCCCTTTTATACAACATTTGAATTCTCTCTAATTGATGCAATTTTACTTATCTAATTACGTTCACACAAGAGTCATCAAAAAACCATGGAGAACACAAGCACTGCTTTTACCTTTCAGGGCATGCAGTCTGTTTGGAACAGTTTAGTTAATAAAAGTTAAAGTAGCAAATTTGGTAGAAATAGAAAAAGATTCATGAATGGGTGGTGATTTGAGCTGATACTTAGTGAAAGTATATGATTTGCACAGACAAGAGGGGTTTGGGGTGTGGTGTTCCAGGGAGGAACCCGGAATAACCAGGAATTACACACACATTGTTAAAGCAGTAACGAGCATTGGTTGAAAGGAACATTGGAAATAATTAGGAGAAATGAGTAAGTTTGAAATCTTTATGTGAGATTAGTTTATGAGACTTATCAGTTAAGAAACGACCGTTTCCTTCATACTCCTAGCCTTGGATCCGCCCCCTTCCTCTAGATTATTTTTATAATGGTAAAAGTTGACTCTGTCAAATAATATCACCCTAACTTACAACAGTCCCTGGCCACTTTCTTATCCGTACAGGAGGGTTAATTCCTAGGAACCCTGATTTCACACTGTGGTGTGATCTTGATAGCAGGAAAGTAAAGCTAGAGGTGTCTGCGTCTTGCTAAACAGGAACGCAGCCAATATCTGCTACCCTTATGGAGACAGTGGGTGGCCACCTTGGGTCTGTCATATGCACCAGTCATTCCAAGAATCCACTCTTCCCAGGAAACCCAAATGGCTCATTATGGAGCACTCATGGTTCCCAGTGGCTTCCAGTTGTCCCTTCAACTGCTGACCCCACTGCTTTTCTGTCCATGTATTCTGAAACACCTTATATCTTCTATAATTAATCCTCACTTTCTGCTTAAGCTAGATAGCTTCGGTTTCTATTTGATACCCAAAGAGTTCTAATATGGTGATAATAAGATAGTTCCTGAAACCCTGCTGTCCTCTACTTCTGTTTGTGCTCCCTGCCCTCCTTGTTCTACTGTTAGTGTTTGTATATGTCCTGCTTTAGAAATTCAAGTGCCATTCCACAGCCCCTCACTACTCTTCCACGCTGACTCCCTTGTTTTCATTCCCTATCCTTGAAGTAAATGCTAAGGAAGAGAGGAAGGTCGTAAGTGTCATTATTATATGCCTAGGGCTTATGAACAGATAAGTCCAAATCTCCCAGGAGATGTGATACAAAGTTTCAAAACAAAAAGTGTTATTCAGGTCCAATAGAGCAGGCTGGATCTTTCTAGAGACCACCTGAGGGATAAGGTACCTCTTGCTTACATGAGACCTTTAGAAGCTCCAGGCAGCTGTACTCTATCACCTCTTATTAAATTACCTTAGCCATAGCTGATTCTTCCAGAAGTGCATAAAGCTATCATATAATGAGGTAACTGCTGTACCTGGAAAATCATCAGCCTGGCATCCTCCAAAAGTCCCCCCCCCTTCCATAGAAAGAGGGTGGAGAAGTTAGAAATCTTGGGGCTCTTGAAAGACCCCTGAAAGCAGATGACCAGCTAGCTAGTGTCAATATAGTTACAATTTTACCCAGCGGGGAAACTAAAAATAATCTGTTACTTCACCCCAGCATGCCTGCCTGGCTGTGTGATGCAGAACAAATGTCCTAGTGCAGGCGGTTGCTGGATTTCCATCAACAGAAGGTATGAGGGCCACAAGAAGATTTCAGACATGGAGATAAGACTGCCTGGGAGGTGGTCACCTGGTGCATGAGCTCGCTCTCTCTCTCTCTCTCTCTCTCTCTCTCTCTCTCTCTCTCTCTCTCTAGCTATTTATTATTTATATCTCTTCAGAGGGCAATTAGGAGTTGGCTTTGACACCTTTGGTAATTATGCTTCCTGGATATTTTTGCTTATTTTGATAGTAAGTCTTTGTTCATATCTTTTGTAACCCCTCACTGTGAGACAGATTATCAATGTTAAGACATGTTTCTGTTCATTCCTACCTCTAAAAACCTATTAAGTACTGGCAGTATGGAAAATAATTTATTAGACAATAAATTAAATTTAAATTGTCAATAAAATATTTATTAGACAAATAGATGAATAAATGGACAGATAAAAAACATCAACCTCACAAGGAGGTCCTGGAAACCTTTATCAAGAACCTAATGATTGGTTTGAATCTTAGGGAATCAGTATCATTTTCCATTAATGAGGTGAAGAGGTGGACAGTCAAAGCTTGGAGGTTCCTTTTGAGGGAATCATAAGTGGTTGACAGTTTAAGATTCGCTGTACAAGGGATGCGGAACTGGGGTAGAACAAAGTTTCCAGGGGGAGAGGAAGATGGCTGAGGAGGGCATTTCAGCACCCTTGCCTGTGATCATCTTTAGCACCCATCAGAACGCCACACTCTTCCTCAAGAGCAGTGTCTGGGGATTCTGAGGAGTGACAGAAAATGCCAGCTCCAGCAGAGTTTCACAGAGAGGCCAAAATCACTATTTCTCAGAAGGAGGATGCGAGGCTCTTGCATTCCCCTTAAAGGAGAAAGGAATGTCCCTGGGACACCTCCCTTCTCCTAACAGCTAGGGGATGAAAAAGAAGAGGCAACAAAGGAGGAGAAGGCGGAAGGCGACAGAGGAAGAAAACACACAGGAAGGAGCCCTCATCTCATTCACAAGCAAAGAAGAATAAAAGCCATGGCAAACAGAGCAGGATCTGATTGCAGCATGGCCCTCCACCAGGAGTCCAAGTTTACAAAGGAGGTTTCTAGTGGATGGGACATGTCCTGGATGTTTGCCCAGATTCTTTGTGAAGATGAATGAGCACCTCTTTCACTATCCGGGACTGAGGAAATGGTGGTGAGAAGGTTCAAACCTTTTGCCCTGAGGAGGCCGTTCTTAATTGTGGCTATTATATTCGAATTAACTGAAAAATAATAATTAAAAAAAATACTGATGCCTGACTCTTAAACCCAAGAGATCCTAATTTAATTGGCTTTTGTTTTCGTGTGCTTTGGGAATTGGTCTGTTTATAGAGTCCTTTGGGTGATATAAACATACACATGGGCTGAGAACAACTGCTTTAAACCAGGAGCCAGCAAACTTGTTTCATAAAGGAACAGAAGGTCATCATTTGGAGTTTCATGGGCTATGCAATCCCTGATAACACTTCTGTTCTGTGGCTGGAGTGTGAATGGAGCCACACACAAAATATAAATGAATGAGTATACTTGTGTGTCAATAATACTTTATTTATAAAAACATTGTGTGTGGCATACCCCAATGTATTCACTGAACAATCCAGACTTTTTAAAGTGTAGAGAAAAAAAGAAAAATACTAAAGTTTTTTTTAAATGCATTTATAATAATGTTCTATTTTATTTTATTTGAGTACAATGGGATATGTTTCTGAGCTCTGTTTTCTAAAATGCTTTTGAGAAAGTAAAATTGATTATTGGCAAAATTTATCTTACCATAATCCATCTTTTAATAGCTATCTACTCATAATGACATAGTGGGGTTAACTTCACATTTAAAATATGCCAAACTAATGGTTTGAACAAAAACCTTGCATCTCAGCCAACCTCAACAAGCTGATGAAGTCTGAGGCATGAACGAAAAAGTAAATTACTAACATTCATTAAACTTTTCTGCTATTTTATTATTTTAGAGAAACCAAGTATGACTTTGTGCTTGTGGAGGCCAGGGGTGAATGCCAGACATCTTTCTCTATCACTCCTCCCTCCCCTTATTTTTTGAGACAGGGTCCCTAACGGAGCCTAGGGCTCACTGTTTCTATTAACTGTCAGGCTAGCAAGTCCCTGAGATCTGCTCGTTTCTGTGCACTAACACATTTGGCTTTTTTCTTTTTACATTAATTTAAATCACCCACCCACACTGTGTGTGTGTGTGTGGTATGGTGTGGTGTTATGTGGGTGTGGTGTATTTATTGTATTTGGGTGTGGCATATGTAGTATAGTATATGTGCAGGGTGTGTATGTGTGATGTGGTATGTGGTGTGGTGTGTGTGTGTGTGTGTGTGTGTGTGTGTGTGTGTGTGTATACTACAGTGCACCTGTGGAGGGAAGAGGGAGTCAGTTCTCTCTTTTACTAAGTGGGTTCTGGAGACTGATTAGATTGTCTAGTTTGGTAATGAGCAAGCGGCTTCACCATGGAGCCATCTTGCAGGCCCCAGACTTGACTTTTTGCGAGAGAGTGCTAGAGAGCCAACTCAAGTTTCCACGCTTGCACAGAATGTGCTTTGCCCACTGAACCATCTACTTAGCCTCAAGTGTGACTCTTGTGCTTTGAAGAAAAAAAAATTTAGTAAGACACAAAGATGAAATTTTTTCCAATGGTGAATGAAAAAAACAGAATAGACTTATAAAACAGTCACTTAGTCTTAGGTACTGAATGTGACAGAAAATGTTAGAACCCAGAATGAGAAAAGCATCCTGATTGGATCAGGGAGGTGACTAGAGGGTGGAAGTCTCAAGTGCTCTCCTATTCCCTTGGGACACCCCAGGAAGGTAGAGGTACCTTAAAAAGATGAGTATCACCAGGATTATTAAACCCACTCCTATTCTTTCTGATATTGCCCATTTTTACAGAAAATCAAATAAATGGCTGCAACTTAGTCAAGCTGGATGAACTACAGATGATGATACCCTCACCTTTATCCTGTCGATGTTGGCTTCCATCTTCAGCTGTTCCACCAGTTTTCTGGCTTGTGCTATGCTAGCAGTGTTGTTACTGGCCATTGGAGAGCAGGATTTGGTTTGCAGGCACTCTAGAAAGCAAAGAGGAAGACTGCATTAGAGAGTTCACAAACTGCAGAACATACATTTCTTCACAGCAGACAGACCTCAGAACAGTGACAGGAACTTGGCCCAGTTCCCTGGTCATCTATATCCCAGTCAGCATTATGTATAACTAACAGGACTTGATTTCCCTGTCCCAAAGACATGTTCACCAAGTCAGACAGAGTAGAATATACTGGTATGATACGTGAGTGTGTGTGTGTGTGTGTGTGTGTGTGTGTGTGAGAGAGAGAGAGAGAGAGAGAGAGAGAGAGAGAGAGAGAGAGACTAAATCAACTTGATTTATAAAATGCTCTGAAAGTGGTAGGATACTGGTGTATACTACCACTGTGTGGTTGCTGTGGCTGCTGTGGGTTGTGGGTGCTCTGTTGTCAGAGGTTGGGTAAACTATCCTTACAGAATGAGAAGGCAAGCTGAGCTGAGAAGTAGGAGAAAATTCAACGGTCCTTCAGTCTCAACACTATTTCCCGTATTCTGATAGAATCAAGCTCCACCCTGCTGCTTAGATTGGTTACCACAGGGACACTACACTAGGACAGCAGGGGTGGTGGTGGATGGGAAGGGTGTAACTTTTCAATGCCACTTAATTGTACACTGTGAAGAGCCATCCCTCCACACTTGGAACTGTGACCGAGTTCACAGTTGTTTTTCCCACAATCCTTCAGGAACACAACTGCATTGTCAAGGGGAGACAGAACCATATCTAAATTGATGTCTAAAGGACATTAATTAGTTTAATAGCATTTTTCTAAACTAAACACAAAAAACTTCTTCTGGGTCATGGAAACTGTGCCCTTGTGCTTTGAAAATTACGTTCTCTCTCTGTTGTAGATCATGGGACAGCATCTCTGCTACAACTTTCAGGGCCCCTCATATGGTGGGTCCCCACAACCCTTCCAAACTTTTCCTAATTTTATTTCTACTCTCTTTCTTGACCCATCATATCATTTTCCTCTATTATTATTGTTCCTTTTTAAAAAGCATTCTGCTTTGTGTTTGGAGTCTTCCCCCAGATTTGATGGGATCTTGCTCTTATCAAGGTTCCATGCTATTGGTGCGGGAGAATTGTCTGTATTCTGTCAATCATGTATTTTAATAAAACACTGATTGGCCAGGCAGGAAGTATAGGCGGGTCAACCAGACAGGAAGTAGAGGCGGGGCAATGAGAATAGGATAAGGCTAGGGAGGAAGAAACTCCCTCGGCCACTCCTGCACAGATCACTGAAGAAGCAACATGTAAGCTGCCCCCGCTGGAAAAGGTACTGAGCCATTATGGCTAACATAGATGAGAATAATGGGTTAATATATGTTATAAGAGTTAACAAGAAGCCTGACCTAATGAGCCAATCAGTTTATAATCTTATGAAGTCTTGTGAGTGATTTTCTTTGGGCTTGCCAGTTGTGGGGTACTGGGCGGGACAGAAACCCCAACAAGCTGGCCCTCATGTTACATATGGCGCCCAGACGTGGATAACTGAATCCACAGAAAGCTTGAGAAAGCTTGGGAAAGAATAGAGTAAAGCATGTTTTGTTGGTAGCAGCAATTTCTCGGGTCTACTTTGCTTGCTAGAGGCAAGCAAGGCTCTCATCTAAGAGAGGCTTCCTGACTCAGCTTTAGCTGCAAAACTTTGTAGCTCATTAAGAGGTCCTGCCACGAAACACTTAAACGGTGTTGGTGAAAAACTGAATGCATGCTTTTCGGTTTTCAGCCGTAGCAGGAAAAAAAACCTGCGCTGTTTTAAAATGCCGTCTTTCTGGGCTGCCCTGCCAGGGCAATCTCTGACTCTTTCAGGCAGGCAGTCTGACTGAGAGTGGTCTGTGAGCAGAATGCTGCAGCTTGCTTGCTGACAAGGACCTTGAAACGCCATAGAGTTGTGACAGTGAACACAGCTCTGGCTGGTACCTCTACCATGAGTCTGGAAAGCTAAGAAATGGACTGGGTCTAGCCATCAAAGCCACGGTTTTAGACTCATGTGGTCAGAAAAAGCGATATACAGTAAAAAGAGAGTCAAAGAGGAAGGAAAACCTCTAAATGGTTTACTATGAGTTAAAAATATATGTAGGCTAAAGGTTAAAGTTCTTACGGTAAAAAAGGAAGAAAGAGAGTAGTTGGGTGTGGTGGTATACACCTTTAATCCCAACACAAGGGAGGCAGAGATAGACTGACCTCTGTGTCCTCAAGGTGTGGTAGTACACACCTTTAATCCAGTGCCTGGGAGGCAGAGACAGACAGATCTCTGTGAGTTTAAGGTGTGGTAGCATACACCTTTGAGCCCAGCACTAGGGAGGCAGAGACAAGTGGATCTCTGTGAGTTCAAGAACAGCCTGGTCTACAGAGTTATTCCAGGACAAAGATATATACAGAGAACCTGTCTCAAAAAGCCAAAAGTTAAAAGAAAAAATAAAAGAAATAGAGGTTAAGATAAAGTTGCATAAAGATGAAAAATACACAGAAAATCTTGATACTGTATGCTATTATGCTCTCTTTGACTTGTTTGAATGCTGAGGAAGGAGCAACAGCTGCTAAAAGACTTTTGTTTATAAATGCTGCTGAATTAACCCAAGATAGGTATTTTGAAAATACCTTGGATTCAGAACTAAAGTCAAAGGGTATGATACTTTGGAGAAGGGATTTTGCTTTTGTTTCCACAGAAAATGAGAAGCTGTGGATTCATTCTGAGTTAAGAAAAATCAGGTTCGAAAAAGGAAGGCCACCTGAGAAATCTCCGATAGGAACAGATGGCCCAGAAGACAGAATTCTACATCCAGAACAGGTTCAAGACTGCTGCCTGAGATGATCAAGACTCACAGGATACTTCAGTCAGGACTTGATTATAACTCTACATTTTCTTTAGGTCCCCATAAGATTATCAGCACCCCCAACCAGCAGGAAGTAGCCTGAAATACTACGCCCATATTCCCAACAAATGGACTATGGGTATTTTCCTTTGTTTAAAAAAAAAAAAAAAA